GAAGAGTAACTACCTAGTGGTAAGAGAGGGCCATACCAATGACGTGTATTTGTGCTTTATTTATCTTAGTTATAAATAGCTTAATGTAAAGTGCTAACAGAATAAGTGAAATGAAGAGAAACATCTATTGCTTTTGAACTTCTTAGGAAGTTTCATAGGAAATGAGAGTGAAACCTCCTGGTGGGTTGATGAGTATTACTGGTAGGATGTTGTGCCAGATGTAAGTGGAAAGGAATGCCAAAGTTTTAAATTTTCTTCCTACTCTTCCAGTATCTTGGCTTATTAGCATATTCCTTACACCATTGTTAAACCCTTTTTATTCACTAACTTTCTTAAGTAACTGGGTGAAGATAACTAACCAGTAACCTATTAACAACCAAGTAAAGATCCAAACAGCTAAAAAATATGACGAGCTTTAACAAAGAAAGGTTGAAAAGCATGATAAACAAAAAAATAAGAGTGAAGGCATAACTGAACACCAGAGCATACTGACCGTTTGCCATAAAATATTCCAATGATACACTCAAAATATTCTTTAAACAATTTGGATTGTTTACTGACATACGTAGTTACAATACCATGATCACTTACAGAATTGACCAATGCAAAAAACTTTTCCATTTTTATGAGCTATGCCTAAATACTGCATAAACGTTGTTTTAGATATTTTTTTATCTTCTGTGCAAGGTTCATTTAGTACATGAATGTAAATACAGTCAAGTGGAGAAAATTAGGTATGGGAGCCTTAATCAAGTTGCAAGTAAAATTCAGTGGGCCACTGGAAGATTTTAATTAAAGTTATTTTACACAAAGTAATTAAACCCAAGAAATTTTTCCACTGTAAAGAATTAGGGCAAGGGGGAGAACATTACAGTGTCTTACAAGGCAAAATAGTGAGTGAGGCATTAGTACAAATCAGCTAATTTTTTCACAGGTAGAGATACAAACAAATTCAAGAAAAAAGAAAAAGACATCCCTACTTGAAACTTTGCCAAGCTAGATACTGATATTCCAGCAAGGATTATATACACAGTTTATACAGGATCTGGAATGGACTTGCAGAAGAGAAACCCATCATAATAGATATGTCTCAGTGAAGACCGCGTTAGTACAGAAATTAGAAGTGACAGACAAAAGTTTTTATTCCAAGTTTATCATTATTTTCAAACACTTTAAAGGACCCATGCGATTGACAAGAAAAAGCATAAAACACTAGAAACTAAGCACACTGCTGTATGCAAGCAATGAAGATGACTGTTAACAAATGCCATCTTTACAGAGCTGGCTGGATCTGAACATACAAGATAGTTCTAGTCAAATACAGAGCAGCCACAGCATAAAAAAAAAACCCAACTCTTGCCACTTTGTTTACACTGGTACTACATTCACACAGATGTATCTGTAATGGTTCTGTATGCATATTTAGTAATTCTTGATACACCAAACTGAGCTGCTCAGAGTTACGTCCAAAACCACAAAAGCCGCCTCTCTTCATACAACTATAGAAAGTTACTAGAGAACTATCACCCCTCAAGCAGAGCTGGACTGCGTAAATCCTCCAGATGGTGGCATTTGCAGTTTCTGACCACTGCAAAGTTACCAGACTCAGATAAGGAGTGTTTGTATGGACGATCACCAAGTCTTTGCCAAAGGCATTAGAACAGTCCAAAACAAACAAACAAAAAAACCCAACCAAACAACCCACCACAAATAAACAAAAACTTCCAAAACTTAAATCCTCCATCATCCCTCTCCTCCAAACATTCTTGCCTATGAACAGCATTTCCCAGAGCACCATGTGAAAGCAATCCAACAACCAAATTACATCCAGTCCATACAATCATATAACAGTTGTTTCATTACACTAAAAAGTTAGCATTCTTGCTAATGCTTTAAAGTAGTAGTTTAAAGATAAAACTTCATGATAAAATGAAACAACCTTTATGGATCTTACTATCTTACAGTTCACAGAAACATTATGTTTCAAAAGCGCAGGTGTTATGGCCTTTGGAACAAGCTATATACATCCTGATTAAAAACTGCCAGTGACTTGGAAACAGGCAACTTGGAAAGTAAAGCACATTCTAACGACTCAGCTCTAGGTATCCAACACATAAATATAGACCTACAGACATGTGTATAAAATTTATTTACATATCTTCCTAAATACACTTCTCCCCTTAAAACTACCAAGACAACACCTCCATAATGGTCTAATACAGAGATGTCTTCCTTAGTCTAGGCAGGAAATTCAGCTGCCTATCTTGCACCTAAAGGTTCCTGAAAGAGCCATGAGATAAAAACAGTTGGCATGGTTTTTTGTTTAATTAAAAGGAAAAGTCAAATAAAAAATTCTTTTCAGGCTATGGTAACACCTCCAGACAACCAGCACTTAGGGCCTCACTGGACTAGTATTGTACCAACAGCAGTTACTTCTTTAGAATTAACTTCTTTAGAAGTAACTGCACACTAAAATTTTCATACAGACAGAAGCTATGGCTGTAGGCACACATTTCAGATAGCTGAGATCAGAAGCAGCTCCAAGAGTATTTGACTGCTAGGAAATGATAATACTTCTCCACTAATTCCAACATTTATTGGAATAACACAGTTGCATAGGACTCTGCACAAAACTAAATGACAGCTGAATTTAACAGTCCCTGCCGGCTTGTTTCCTCCCAAAGCTAAAAATTCAGAGAACTCAACATCCTCCAGGTCAGCAATTCGATACCCCACAACATAGTTTTCCAGCATGAGAACCAAATTTGAACGGCTCACACGCTACATATAACTTAGCAGAAACATGTTGGTCCTTTTAGCACTAAAAAGAAGAAAATTACACTGACCCCAAAAGCTGAGAATCCCAATTTCACCCTTTAACTGCTGCTTATGACTAGCAGATACCACAGTGCAATATTAAAACAAATAGAGAAACAATGAATAACCTGAGGTTTTTTTTACCAGCATAAGAAGTTATTACTACTACACATCACTAATGAATGAAGCTTGAGGAGAAAGACTGAAGAAGCAGACTGACCTCCAGCTAAAATAGTATCTGGCAAACTTTCGATACTTTTTAGATTGTGAATAGGAAACTTTTATTATTCACTGGCAAAGTCAAACTTCAGCTCCCGATGCATAAGACTCAAGAAAAGCAGAAAAACTGTATAAATGAATTTTGGATACAGATCTGCAAAATCCAAAGAACCTAATGTACTTACTCAATAAAGGGATTCTGAAGTCAACTGAAGCCCTCCTGTGAACTCCACTAGGAGACTTCCAGTTTCAGATTTCACAGAATTTAAAAACATTCCTTGTAAACTGTTTGAAGCTAACATATCAATCTCCAACTGCTGACCAACCCAGAGCTAAGTGTGTATGATTTACCATTTCACATTACGAAGATGTATTTTGGAAATGACAAGATCTTCCAAAGATAAATATTGTCTTTTCCAACCCTCTTGACCAGCACACTCTAAATACTAATATCAAACTGCTGTTTGCCATTAACAGAATATTCATGCAAGAAAGTATCCAGAGACTAAAAGGGAGCATTCTGCACCAGAGGACTAGCTGGATCTATTACCACAGAACACAATGTGCTCTGTTATTCTAATATTACCTTACTAATTTGTTCTGTTATTCTAATATTACCTTACATTGACCCAAGAGGGAGATTAATTTACCTTCCCCAAACTACACCTCTACAAGGTGATGCATTTTTTTAAAAAGAAAAAAAAATAATCCTACCAGTCTTAAGGGTCAAACCTTTTATATAAAGGCACTCAGCACAATTTGCTGTAGGCCTAATTCAAAGTCCACTGAAACTAAGTTCAAGACTCATCTATTTCAGTGTGGTTTGGATTAGGCCCTGTGGAAAAAAAGAACACCACACCCCCTTCCAAAACACAAGTGAAGCTCACCTAAAAACGTCCCAGCGTTCTGTAACTTATTCAAGTTATTTCAGTATAAGCAACATAAACTGTACATGGACATAAATGTACTTAACTAATGGCTACGGAAAACATAAAGCAGACATTTTCCCCCCATTCGATAGCATCAGAGTAAAACTGACAGTGGCCAAACACCTCAGAAGAAAAGTTAGTACCAGAATTAATTTATACATTCTAGTTCTATTGAATCAAATTAAGCTCCAGCAATTTAATTCACACATGTTAAAATCGTGTTTCAGAATAACAAGTGAAGTGCATGCTTTGATCTAAAATGCTTATAAACACCATACTTCCAGAAGACGAAACCTTTAAAACCAAGCCCATGTCTCAGTTCCACTAAAATACCATTCAGAGAAGGAAGACATGGACTATTTGCAGAAGAGCCCCAATTACTCACATGAATGTTATGCTTAGAGGCCAAGCAGGTATTCACAAATAGGCAAATTATTCTCTGGGGCTCCTACTCCCAAGCGCTCTACTGATGCAATTTTTGTTCGGGGAGAGAGAAACAAGAGAGCATCAAATATTCAAAACAACCGAGAACGACGTGCGACCAGCCTACGTAAAATGCTACTGGGAAGATCCCACCATCCTGCAAAACGTCCCAGTGGCACCTGAGCTCTCTCAGAGAAGGTCACTGGACGGGGGCGGCAGGCTGTGGTTATTCACCTGGCCTCTACGGAGGCTGAGAGCGGGGAAGAGCGAGCTGCACAGGCCGACACATCATCTCCCGCTTACCCTGGGCTACAAAGAGAGAGACGAACGCGGTCGCTAGGGGGGGGGGGAAGCTGCATCCCTCGGAGAAAGACGGTCCTACCTCCCAGGCGAGGAAGGCGCCGGGGGAGCGACGCAGCCCCCCACCAGAAGACGGCCTGGGGAGAGCGCGGGGGGAGAAGGGCGCTGGGAGGGCATCTCCGGCGATGCCCTCACGGGCCTCTCCGCCACGGCCTTTCCCTCCCCTGAAGATCCCCGTTTTTTTTCCAAGGGAAGGTTTATTTTGGAGGGGGCGGGAGAGAGAGAGAGAGAGGAAGGGTCGCGGCTACTCACATGGGCTCCAAGGTTTTGCTGAGCCAGGATTTCAGCGCCTCGAAGTTTTCTATGATCATTTTAACCACCATCCAGAGCGGCCCGGGCCCCCCGCCTCCCCGGCAGCAGCAGCAGCACCACCACCAAGAACTGCG